GAATTTCTAGGAAGGCTGAGTGGAATGAAAAAAAAAATACAGAAACATGAATGAATGCTGACCAAGCGTTTTTGACATTGCTTGAAACTGGATGGATCCTGTGGCTCTCTGGACTCTTGTAACACCCCAACCTTCCACGACTTCCAGGCCAGGCTCTGCCCTCGTGCCAGAATGACACTGCTTTGCCGAGGTCACCAAGGGGCTCCTAATTGGCAACCCCAATGGCCAGATCTTAGTCTTCGTCTCCCTCAGGCAGGCATTAGCCCTTCCTTTTTCTAATTTCCCTCTTCCCTGGACTTTGTGCAGGGCTGGCTCTGCCACCTGCCTGAAGGATCCCCTTCAAGCATACCAGTTGCTAGGGCTCCATGCTGCACACCCTGCCTGTTCCCTGGGTTCCATCTCTGCTCTCCTGCCGCTCCCCTGCCCCAGGGATCTCTCCTCCTCTTGCCTCTTCACCACTCCCAGAGCTGACTTTTCACCCCATGCCAATGCCTGTGAAATGCACTGAATCCAAGTCAACTTGTCGCAAACCAGACACTTTCACTGTTCTTCAAACCAGGTCTTCCAGGGTCCATTTGCCCTGTGCGGCTTCCTCGGGGTTCCTTGGGATCCTGAGTTGTTTCCCTGATTCCTTCCTCGTCTTCTCTGATTCATCCTGCTCAGTATTAGAAATTAGTTCTCAGGCCAAGTTCCTACTAAAAACAACTCCAGTGATTCCTTACCGTTTGCCAATTAAAGTTTATTAAAGTTTCTTCATGACCAAGCTGTAATTTCTTCCTAGAGTTATTTCCCACTGTAATGTATATATGTTCTCTGCACTGCTGCCAAACTTAATTGCTTGTAAACATTATGGTTAATAAATATTATTTCCACTAGCTCTCAGGTTCTGTAAATATGTGAACATACAAATGACTAAACAGCATAAGAAAGATGACTTAATATAGCCCTCTCACCGTGAGATACTTAAACATAAAATTATAATTTTGAAATAATATGTAAAGTTCAAAAAAATTCTTGTTTCAGTTATGTAGATTATCTTAAGAATTATGCTAAAATCTAAAATAACTTCCTTTTTTGTGTGTATACCCTTCTTCTGTTTTGTAGGAAACAATCTGATAGCTTAACACCTGACTTTCTCTTCCCAATTAAAGGTCGTTTAACTCACATAGATTATACATAAACTTTTTTGATCTTAATTAACTCTTTGTCTGATTTCATGTGTTTCTTGACTAACATTTCTATCATCCCGGTCATAATCCATTTGACATACCTCTCAGCAAAAAGCTGGCCCTTCAGTTAGGAAATGGAGCCACATTTTACACCTATTCCCAGCCTTAAACATACCATCTGACCCCTCAGCAGCTGCCCTGCCCTCTATCCACAACCCCTTCCTTTCCAGTTTTGTGCTTCAAACAGACCCCTGGACTTATGGGACTTTGCCTTCTGATCTTTCCTTATTTACATAAATACACAATGCAATACATACTGGAATAGCTTATTGAATTTAAATAGGTAATATATATACAGTGGTGTGTGTATTTTTTTTTTTTTCCTTCTACAAGGCTGGGCTTCTGAAATGTCATTGACTTTCTTTTGTCAAACCATCTTGATCATCCTTCTGGGCTCATTATATTAAAGTAGAAAGTGTATTTCACTAGAACCCTCTGTTCATAAACAGCTACTCATCCCCCCTCAGGGAGCCACACCCCATGGGCCAGGAAGATGCTGGGAACTCCCACCATACAGCTGAGTGTTTGGCTTAGTTACAATTGGGTAATTGCCTCTGACCCTGTTCCTAAACTGTGATTTCCAATAGCTACAGGGATTTCCTCTACTTCCGACCTGACTGAACCCATTGTGTAACTGGCACGGTATGATAGCCCTAATGTGGAGAAGAATGAACAATTCTCTGGAGGCAGACAAGGGATTGATTTCGAACACAGGGACTGATTACATTTCAGGCAACAGGACTGTAATTTAAGGGGTAAAGCAGAGTCAATGAGGCCAATATAATGGTTTCCTCTACAAGCACTGATGCAATTAGCAACTAATTTTAATTGAAAAGGTGCAGGAACTCTTGGCCCTGTTCCTCTGGCCATCAGAAAATAGGAAATGGGAGGGAAAACCAAGTCAAGTGTTCATTTTTGTGGAATGGTAATGCATATTTAGTAATACCAAATCTAAAAAACAGAAATCACTTTAATAGATTCAAGTTCTGTTATATTATGCCATTGGTTTGACCTGGTTTGAATAAGAATAATTGGCATTTCATTTATACACATTATTGAAGGTTATTAAGGAGATACTTTCTCTATCCCCAAAGCCACTCTTTTTTTTTTAAAATTTAAATTCAGTTAATTAACATATAATGTATTATTTGTTTCAGGGGTATAAGTCTGTCCCAAAGCCACTCTTATCATGTAGTCTGTGCCCCTAAATTTTCACCAAATTTGCCAAACAGAAATTCAGTTTATTATATTAGGCCTAAAGCATTCTGGCTACTGAAGTCCATTCTTAAATACTATCATACTTCAGTAAACGTCAGGAACACCTGGGATACCATGTCTCTGATTCTGATTCACTGGGTCTAGGATAGGACCCAAGAACTTATATTTTCCTTAAGCATATTCAGTGAATCTGGTATATGAATTGCATTTTGATAAATACTGCTCTACATCTAGAGATTACATATGAACTAGGTATCAATTATTAAATGTCTTAGGCTTATCTGAAATAATTTTTTCTTCAGCATGTTGGAATATTGGAACACGAATCAGCTCAGCTTCAAGAGAGGGTCATGGCAAGAAGAAAGCACGCAGCATGGGCTGGTTGTCTGAAAACACAGGCTCAGACTGGGTGTCTGGGCAGGGAGCCCTGAGTGGGTGATCTGAAGCCTGCATATGTGTGTTGGGTGCATGTGGCCAGCAGCAGGGCGAAGATTGAAGTTGGATTGGTATCTGAGGGGGATTACCTGGGATTCACTCTTGGCGTCATGTAAGAATAAGTGTTTCCATTTTGCACCCTGGGCACCCCATTCACCTCACCCTAGTCCTGGCTTTGGCAGATAGCCTCTGAAACGGCTGCCAATGATCCTACCTTCAGGGATTCATGCCCTTGTGTAATCTGTGACTCGTGTGTGGACTGAACCTAATGACTTGTGTCTAATGAGTAGAATAGAGCAAAGGTGATGGGATGCCCCTTCTAAGAGTAGGTTATAAGAGACTGTGACTTCTACCTTATACCCCCCACCACCCATCTTTTGTTTTTTAACTCTGATGAAACAAGTTGCCATTTGTGACTATTGAGGCTTATTGGCATTTCTGCCTTATTGGGAGACCTATGTGGCAGGTAACTGAGGGTGACCTCCAGACAACAGCCAGTGGGTCCTTCCCTGGTTGAATCTTCATAGAAGACCACAGCCTCCGTGGACACCTTGATTGTAATCTGCGGGAGACGCTGAACCCGAAGCTCCAGCTAAGCCTTGCCCAGATTCCTGACCACAGAAACTGTGAGATTGTCAATACTGTTGTTTTAAGTCACTGTGTCTTAGAGTAATGTTTTATGCAGCAATAAATAACTAACATAGTGTGGAAAGATCCTGGTGGTGGTGGTGGTGGTGGAGTGTTGGTTGTTGAACCCAAAGAACAACATAAACAAGGAAAAGTGAGAAGGTACTGAGGACACACTGAACCCAGTTTTGTGTGTTTTAGACAGTTTGGGCCAGGGATGGTTCTTCCTATGCGGTTGCTTCTTTTTCTTCTTCCTTACCTCCTCCAACCCTTTGCTTCCTTAAGAGGGGGAAAAAAAGCTGGAGAGTTGCTTTATCAGTGTTAAAACTGCTAAACTTTGAAATTTCTTCTATTAAATGTCCAAGATTATTGCCATCACCACCTCCTTGTCTATCCTAAACTCCTTCCCTGAAATTTGCCATGGTTCCCAGTAAGAAGGTGACTGTATTTAATAGTGATAATATCTTCAGCCAGCAGCCACAGCCACTAGAATACAAAAATTAAAATGTCTGACACTGCAAGGATGTAGAACAACTTGAACTTTGTATACATTGCTGGTGGGGATGCAAAATGGGGTGGTCACTTAGGAAAACACCATGACACTATCTTATAGAGTTAAACCTAAATCTACCATGTGACCCAGTAATTATACTCCTAGATAGCTGTCCAAGAGAAATAAAAACTTCTGTGTACACAAAGGCTTACATTAAAATATTTATAGCATTTTACTTGTAATAGTCCAAAGCTAGAAACAATTCAAATATTCATCAACTAGTGAATAGATAAGCAAAACTGGCATTACAGATTGTCCTCTGTTCCCCTTTGTCTTTCTCAGGGTCCTCTCAGGTGAGCGCCTTTCTTCTAACACCATAAACAGTCATATTCCTCCTAGGCTTTGGGTTTGGGGCTCAAGAGGAAGGGCATTACCTTTCTGATGGGAGAGCTAACAAGTGGGACCTTCTACACTAACTTAGATTTGTCCTTTTTATGGGCCTCTGACATTCACTCGCCAATTAGCTCTTAGAAGCCTCTATTGGAAATAAGGTGCTTCTGAGATTTTTGATGCAGGGATGCAGCTCAGAATTATAAGTGGCCTCCTTAATATTCTGCATCACTAGCTAAGGCTTACACAGCAAATATCCATGCCCATCCAAAAAAAAAGTCTAAGGTAAAAGTGCATGCCTAGCATAATGTTAGAGCCGTCGAATCACTATGTTGTACACCTGAAACTAATGTAACGTTGTGTGTCAACTATACTTCAATTTAAAAAAGTACATGCAAGAGGTTCATAGGAATAAAAGGGCCATTATGGAAGCAATGGAAGAACTAGTATAGGCCAAGTGAAATCTGCCACAAACTTCAGTCCCTCAAGAGGAATACCCTATAGCTCACTGTAGTTCTATTATTTTTTTCTCTTTTTAAGCCTACCTAATGATTCTTAACTTAAAACTGACAAGCTACATAGAGTACATGAGTCAGGACCAGGACCTGCAGAGGTCAAGAAACTTTATTCTTTATGAATGATTGCAGAGAAAAGATAAACATCATCATCAATGGGGTATTTTTTTTTTCTTGTAATGGTATAGCATCTTCCTTCCAGATCGATGTCAGCACATCCCTTGTCAAGCAAGTCTATAATTCCATCTCAGGCAACTCCTTTTATGGGCATGATAAAGTCATTGGCTGATTTAAATGAAGGAAGGGGGCTGAACATTTAGAATAAAGATGAAAAAAATTTTGAATTTTTGTGCGCACTGATGACTAACTTTCCACACACACAAAATCACTAGTGATGAAAATAACTATTAAATATATCTAATATCACACTATACCAGTATATGTGGTTTTGACTCATTATCCCCCCTTTTTCTTTCTCATATTTGTCTAGTCTTGTGTGCTTGCTTAAAACCAACGAGGCCATGGCAAGGTTAGAGTTGAGACCAGTTCTTTAAGGGCTATTTCTTGTTCTGCTGAGAGTGTATCTTCAGTTGCCAGGGGAAGACGTGTGCGTGAATTCTCTTGCCTGGGTTAAGGTCATCTATAGCCGTGTAGAATGAACTCAGCTGTGGCAGGTTGGTAAGTCCAAGTTTCAAGATGACACAAAGGGATTGAGTCAGGCAAGAACCAGAAGATTTGGGGCCAAGTTAAATGCTATTGCTTAATGGGAAAGAGGAGAGGAAGGAGGACATGGAAATGCGCAGGCCAGTTCCTGCTGAGATGATATGCCTCTGGAAACCCTGCATGCTTAGTGTTAACTTGGTGTTGGTTTGTGTATTTTCCAAATCTGCAGTGTGTGGCTTCCGCAGCGACCCTGTGACTGGGAACCTGGCACCCTTTGATGACTTTCACCCTTTCAGTGTTCTTGGGACTTGTCTGAGAGGTTCTAATTCAAAGGAAGCTTTTACTTTGAAAGCTTCAAAAGTCATTTCTCTCTACAGATTATATGTGGAGTGAAAGGTGTCTTTACACTTAGCTCCAATTGCTCTTAAATCCCTCAACTTGTTCTTGCTGGTAAAATTTATGCGAGTGGGAAAGAGATTATTTCTAGGTATGGAGTGTGTGTTAGAAGTTATTTTTTTTTTCATTCTCATTCAACAAATATACACTAAGCACCCGCTAGATTTTGGGGTACATGGGCAAAGTGCCTGTTTCAGAGCTTGTGCAAAGTCTCAATTCCTGAGGGATCCAAGCCCTGCTCTTTGAGCCCTGGGTCGAACCACAGACACAGGTAGTGCTGACAGCCATGTTCTTGTCACGGCTGAAGGCTTGCAGGGGATGGATCTTCGAGGAGCTACCTTAGCTGAGGCTCTCTTGGTTGAATCTCTAAGTACAGTGGCACAAGCCAAAGCTTCCTGTTGCGTAATGTAGCCTAAGAGGAGAGAAATGAGAGAAAGTTCAAAGTCAACAGTCTTACAAAACAAATAAGCAAACAACCCTGCAAATATTTACGGATTCATAAAATGTCTTCTACTTCGCAGGGTAGAGACGGTTGTGTTTAGCACACCAAGATTATATGATTTTTGAGGATATGAAGTAGACTTTTCTTCTTTTGCATTTCTTGTTCAGTAAGTTTAATACATAGTCATTGATTAACATGACAAATCGCTTGGAGAGGAAGCTAGGCCTTGAGAAATCTGAGCATGCATTGCATATCTTTATTTTCAAAACTTTCTTCAAACCAGAAACAGAGATATTCAATCTCTGTCAGGGTTTTTAAAGTGTAGTCTGCAGACCACCCACTACAGAATCATCAGGCTGAGACCACATTTAATAATGCTTTTTAAAAATTCAGATTTCTGGCTCTATTCCAAAGACTTTCCTGATCAGAAACTCAGAGAGCTACAACATCACTCGGCATCAGGGAAATCCAAATCAAAACCTCAATGAGATACCACCTCACACCAGTCAGAATGGCTAAAATTAACAAGTCAGGAAACG